CCTCCCTCCCTCCTTCCTTCCTTCCTTCCTTCCTTCCTTCCTTCCTTCCTTCCTTCCTTCCTTCCTTCCTTCCTTCCTTCCTTCCTTCCTTTCTCCCTTCCCTTCTACCTTCCATCATGCCCTCTGTTAATAAACTAATAAAAAGGTCAGTCAATCAGTCAGTCGGTCGGTCGGTCGGTTAGTCAATCAGTCACACAGACAGTCAAATTGAATTTGCTTTAATTATTTTCTAGGTCGAACGACTGGGTTGGTATATCCAAAGGTGAAAGTGGTGCTGCCACCTTAATGTGTGGACATGCACAAGACTTCTTTGCTCTGATAACAAGTGGCGAGGCTGTTATCAGCTTTAACACCAGAGGGGAGCATCACAGACGAGGGGACGGTTTCTACGCATGGTATCAAGCTGTTGATGAGGCGGTGACAGGTAAGTAGTAAACTGATACATGAAGGTTTTTACTAAGTGTGTATGAATAATCCAATATTCTACCTCATGGAGGGATAAAGATGAATGTCTCTGTAAGCCTACCCCAAACTATTGTGTAGAAATAAGGATGAGAAAATGAAAGCAGGCTGCCGAAAATGAGAATTTAATTGAAACTCATTCCCGTCGGGATCTTTTATATCATATCGATCATATCGATGACGAAAGCACAATCGCAAAAATTCGCGTTACATTGGATCGCATCGAAATTTGTTGGCGTGAGCGCGTGAGCGTGACAAATTTGTGCTAAAACACTTCAATGTGGCCTACACGACGCACAGCACGGGTCAGTGTTTTCAGCATGGCGTCGGCTGCAAAGCGTTCGCGAACGGTCGGTGATGATAGCGCAGAAATGGTTCTTGAGATTCAGTGTTTTTCTGAGATGCTGGAACAGGAAGAAGACAGCAATGATGGCATGTCAAGTGGTGAGCCGCAAGATGAAAGCGACGAGTCGAGGTAAGAGTCTGCATAATTATGTTATTTTTTCAATCTTGCGATGCGTAACCACGTGCCATGATTTGAAATGCAATGAAATGTTATTTATAGGAAGGAAGTAGAAGAAGACAGCAACGATGGCATGTCAAGTGGCGAGGAAAGTGATCTAGATCGCCAGCTGCAAGACGAAAGCGACGAGTCGAGGTAAGCTAGAGTTGAGTAAACTGTTTTGCACAATTATGTTTATTTTCTAATCTTGCGATGCGTAACCACCGCGCCATGATTTGAAATGCTATGAAATGTTATTTATATTTGCTTTTTATGTTCGAAATCGTGCCTATTGCTTGGAATAAATTTCTGGCATGAACTTATATTCGAGTGTAGGGAGATCAATATGTGGCAAGATTTCCGTATAACCCCATACATTTATAACCCCGTACTTTATGCATAGTTCTTTGTTGAACTAAACATGTACAATAGTCGAAACAACAGAATCCCTGTGAGGACGTACTCGCTTTGAATAACTGTAAAATTAGCATTTTTTTCACGCATTGTGTTTTGTGACTTTTGTATACGTTTGGTATTTGGAATTATAAATCTTCAGTCAAGTCACTGTATGTCATTGGCTACAGCCATGTTTGTTCACCACTGGTTAATAGCATATTCTTTGCTGCAACAGTGTATCAAATTGATATGTTTTGCATGGCCTTGCGGTGATGTGAATGTAGGTAATAACAATGTTAAAGAGTGCAATGATGTTTTCCTTATAGTGACGTAGAGATTTACTCTCCTGATAATGATGATGATGATGATGATGATGATCCTGTTATTCCTGCTGTTCCCATTGTTCCCCATGCCCCAGGTGCACATCGTCGTAGACGTCTGGTTGGCCCAGCTGGCCGTGGCTGTGGTCGTAGAACTACAAGATGTTCTAGTCCAGCTGCTCCAGCTACTAGTGGTCGTGGGTTGGCTAGACGCGGTAACCATGCTGCTCCTGCAGCATTTAAAAGCTATGAAGACCCAGATAATGGAAATCTCCTCCCTCCATTTAAACCCACCCGCTCACCTGGAATACACTTTGGCCATCCACTCCTCAGGCATACAATGACTAGAGCTGTTGATTTTTTTCGCCTTTTTTTCACTGTGGAAATGATAAATAATATATGTAGCCACACAAACAGTTATGCCAATGAAAACATTATTGCAGGAACTCATAGGTCTTATACTGAGTCAGATGGAAGCTGGAAGGATACAACACCTGATGAGATCAACAGATTAATTGCATTATTGATTTATTTTGGTCTTGTCAAGGTAGGTGTTAACACTGACAGGTATTGGAGCACCAAGAGCCTCTACTATGGTCTTTGGGCACGGTCCATAATGCCCAGAATTCGATTTCGAGCTCTCATGGCCTTACTACACGTGGTAGATCCAGCAACGGAGACTCCAGGGGATAAGTTGCATAGTGTTGAGTCATTTATTGATTATTTTAAATCTAGATGCCTTGATTTGTATCAGCCCAGACAACAACTTGCTATTGATGAGCGTATGGTCAAATCTAGACATAGGTCTGGCATACGTCAATACATCAAAGATAAGCCCACCAAATGGGGCATCAAGCTTTGGGTGTTGGCAGATAGCTCTAATGGTTATACCATCGACTTCAATATTTACATAGGGAGAGCTGCAGGGAGAGTTGTTAGTGAACATGGGCTTGGCTATGACGTTGTTGTGCGACTAATGCAACCTTTTTTCAATCAGGGATATCACTTGTATATTGATAATTTTTATACTTCAGGTACACTTGTGAAATATTTATTTGAAAAAGGAGTCCCTACAACAGGTACCATAAGAGAGAACAGCAGAGGCTTTCCAGCAAATTTGAAGAATGCAAGTGAATGGTCCAAGGCGTCAAATGTGAAAAGGGGAAGTATGCGTTGGGAAAGGGACCCACCCATCCTAGCATTACAGTGGTTAGACAACAAAGTAGTTTCTGTGTTAACTTCTATCGACAATGCTAATGACTCCCTTCAGGTGAGTCGTAAAACTAGGACAGATGGAGTGTGGAGTACCAAAGTGGTGCAGCAACCCCAAGCCATTGCTTCATATAATAAGTATATGAATGGAGTGGATAGGTCAGATCAAATTTTAGCCACCAACAACGTGTCACGTAAATGCATCAAATGGTGGAAGACTTTGTTTTTCCACCTTATTGATATTGCCGTTGTTAATAGTTTTATACTTTTCAGGGAACACCAGGCTCAGTTTCCAGATGTTGAGGAACTTCAAAGGACAGCAGATTATTCACTAGCCCATTTCAGAGAAGAGATTGTCAGGCAAATTTGTGGTTTTCCTGAATACATTGACCAGCCCCCTGTGCGTTCTACCCCCATGCCAGTTGACCCAAATCAGTTTGAATCTGTGCACATGCCAGTTTTTACTGATGGGAAGAAAAACTGTGTGGTCTGTTACAAGCAGAATAAAATCCAGCGACAGGTGTATTCAACTTGCAGTGCACCCATGTGTAAGGGGAAGCACATGCATGTCACCAAGGAGAAGAACTGTTTCCAGGTGTTCCACAGCAGGGAGTATCACAAGTGTTGATGTTGTCAATTTTTTTTCATTGTCTACAAAAAAAAAAAACACAAACAAAAAATAATAGTAGCAAAAATATAAGGGCAAAAAAAACAAAAAAACAAACAAACACCAAAAAAAAAAAAAAAAAAAAAACACCAAAAAAACACCATTATCACTCTGAGAATTGAAAAATCAGTTTGGATGTCTTATCAAGAATGACTCTTTCCAGCCCTACATTAGAGTGATATTGACATTTATCTTTTCATTAAATACTGAGAAATGTTTGCTTTCAGCTAAAAACACATTCTTTATATCAATTTTTAAAGTCAGAAAAAAAAAATGCCATGAAAACTGTTTCAAAAGGGTCTAACACGTTTTGTGACATCATTCCAGGAAACCAGTTGCACACATATCACTTGCCTTGAGTTTGCATGTGTGTGATTTTATTCTGAGCTCACAACTGCATGTCAGAGCCAATCAAGTTCTTGGTGGTGCAAATTAGGCACCTCAGTTAACAAGATTTCATGGCCTGGTTTGATGGATTGGCGATTCAAAAAATGTTAGTTCAAAGTGATTTTCCTTGATTTTAACAGTGGAACCTCACCTTACAGCCACCCTGTTAATAAGTTGGCCATCTCGTTATTACGGCCACTATATTCTGACCCAAACAAAAGCTCAGTGAAGTTATTTTTTTATTTAAAGAGCCACTTTAATACGCCCACCCTGTTAATGCAGCCAGATTTTTGTGGCCTGTTCATGATCAGATTAACAGGGTTCCACTGTATTTCAATTAACTTGTTATTATCATAATTGCGAATTCTTCTGTAAACCACTTTGGTATATATTATGATCATTATCACTGTCATTGTCATTGTCTTTGTCATTGTC